AGGGAGAGAAGCGGTTAGCAGATATATGGGAGGACGAGGAGACCATGAGCTGGATCAAAGGGGAGCCACTGGAGGAGGAAGGCGTAAGTGAGAGAGCAAGAGCCAGAGGGCAGCATTACAGATGGTTTCAGGAGCAGCTGCAGCTGAGGACCAGCGAAGGATGGAGGGTAGTGCCGCAGCCGCAAGAGAGGAACAGGATCATGGGGAAGGTGCATGCGAAGCTGGGACATTACGGCATCACCAGGACACGGCAGCTGCTGAGCACCATGTACTGGTGGGCAAGCATGGGGAAGGATGTGGCAGGACTGGTAGCCAGCTGCGAGGCTTGTCAAAGGAATAAAGCAAGGCTGGAAAAGGAGAGGGAGGAGCTGCACTCACTACCGATTCGGGGGTTAGGTTACAGGTGGTCGCTGGACCTGGCAGGAGAGTTACCATTATCAAAAGGAGGGAAGCAGTACATCCTGATCATGGTTGAGCACACGAGCAAATGGGTGGAGGCGCGAGCATTACCAAGCAAGAGTAGCGCACTGATAGCGGACGCATTCGAGGAGTTAGTACTGACCAGGTACGGTGCATGTGGGGAGGTGCTTACCGATCAAGGGACAGAATTTCAAGGGAGCTTTGATGAGCTGCTAGAGGAGATGGGCATTACGCATCGTGTCACCTCAAGGTATCACCCTCAATCGGACGGGCTGACAGAGAGGCTCATACAAACCGTGAAGAAAGGACTTCGGGCCTATGGAGAGACACACAAGAGGAGTTGGGACAGGGATCTCTGGTGGGTGCTTGCGGGATACCGGTTTGCGAAGCAGGCAGCGCTGAAGCATCTGTCCCCGTATCATCTACTGTACGGACGGGACCCGGTGCTACCTGTGGATGCACCGAAGCTGCTCTCGGCGACGATTGAAGCGGACGAGCCGAGCCTGTGGGCGGGATTAGCGGAGAAGAGGGCGAGGTATCTGAAACAAGACATACGAGGAGGGGATCAGAACAGAGTGATTACATACGCCAGGAGGAAGAAGGGATGAGCCGGTCACCTGGATGAGAGGTGGAGGGAGAGGGAGTGAGGAAGTCAGGCAGGGATGCAAGGGAGAGTGAGAAGGAAGGGACAGCAGAGGGGATTCACGACAAGACACACACGCAGGTATGCAGCGACGTTGAAAGGGTGAAGGAATATATGGTGAAAAGCGGTTGAACAAGCAGGGACACACACACGTCCAACCAGATAATCTCTCCTTCCCTCCAAATCCTGAACACGCCATCCCAAACAGGCTGACTAGTCATAAGCCACTTGATCCAAATCCTGACTGGCTAGTCAGCTAGACAGGCAGGCTGGACTTGTGACCTCCGGACAACTCGCTTCCACTCTCGCCGAACCTATCCTCCTCACCCTCCCTCCCTCCCTCCCTCCCTCCTCTTCTCCTGCTGCACCACCACTAGCGAATCTGAAATTAAGTTACCCGTGCCCTCCATGCCACCCGCTCGCCCGCCCAAAGCTTACCTTCTCTTTCTCCACCTCCGCCATTTGCCTCACGTGCTTGGCGCGCTCTGAGTGAGGAGGGAACACATAAGTCAGAGGGGATAAGGCAAGGGAGGGGAGGAAGAAGGGAAAGGCCGAACCATCGTGACTGTGCTGGCAGAAACACCCTCTCTACAGCCTATTTGTGAAAAAACACATGGGCGTTAACTCATGCCCGCTCTCATAACCGCCAGTCGCCGCCTTCTCTTCCCTCCCCTCCCCTCCCCTCCCTTCACCCACCTCGTCTAAGAATCTTTTCCCACTCGAGTCGATTTCTCACAACCGCAAACGCGCTTCCCGCTGCCCCTGATTCGAGATGACTCTAGAGTCGACTAAAGAAACAGCCTCATATCGTTTGCTCCCCCTTTTTCCATCCACTCCCTTCCACCGCCCCTCGATCACCTCGTCTAAGAGTCTTCTCCAACAGGAGTCGGTCCCGCCCGTCATCCCCTTCCCCCCGTTCCCCTTTGCCCGCTCGCTCACCTCGTCGAAGCGTCTTTTCCAGCTGCAGTCGGTCCCTCACAAGCGCGAACGCGATTTGACATGTTTGATTCGACTCAAAAACCAGCCGCATTCGCTTGCTCCTCCCATCCCCTCCCTTCCGCCCGCTCGCTCACCTCGTCTAAGCGTCTTCTCCAGCTGCAGTCGGCCCCTCACGAGCGCGAACGCGATTTCCGCCGCCACTGATTTGCACGACGGGAACAGGGACGACGAGGCTGGGGACGTGGCTGACTCGATTGCTTCTAACGAGGATGACTGTAACGTGTGTGACTGTAACGAGTGCGAGTGTGAGATCAACGATTGTTCCAAGCCAGCGTCAGTTTTCCCCTCCCCTCCTCCGGCGTCTCTTCCCGGCCAATCCACTCGCTTTAGTTTAAATCTGATTCGCGGAGCGCCTTCCTCCTTTTGGCCCGTGAGCGTGATTGTATCGAGGGCGGGGGAATGACTGGCGGGCAGGGGCGCTGCGATTGGAGTGAGCAGATGGAAGGGTAGAATCGGACGGCCAAGATTTTAGATCATAACGGACGGGAAAGAGCAGTGATATTAGACACGCAAAAGAAGAACTGATAGCAACTGACGGACGGGCATAAACATAGGCGAGCAAGCCTTTTAAGAGGCGGCTGTGGGGTAAAGCGGTGGAGCCCATACCTAGTAGCGATGATGAGAGTTACCTTGGTTGGGTCGCGCTCGGGCGAGAGCGGGTGTGACAGTAACGTGGCGCGAGGAGAGCGACACTTGGATCAACGCGAGGAAGTCCGCGAAGCTCTTACCCACTCCGAGGTCGTCCTTCTGCACGGCGCGCGCCGTCCAAGAATGGCAATGGCAGATCGGACGGGGGAAAATTTTGTCAGGCTGTCAGAAAGTCCGCTGTACCGGAAATCATGACGAAAGTCGCGAGCCAGAAACGAAAGCATTGACGGATAAAAAAATATCGAATTTTTTCAAGAAATCACTCCAACTAAGTACTTTTGCGAAACGGATTTGTGCAACCATACTAGCTGCTGGACTAGGAGCTGCCTATGTTTGAGGCGACTCGATCGCTTTTTTGGATCTGCCAAGGAGCTACCAATGTCGCAAGAGCTAAGAAAGACTGCCGCGGGAGCTATCGCATTAGGAGCTGCCACACTAAGAGCTACTGCACCAGCAGCTGCCCGCCATTTGTGTATTGAAAGGCAAGCTGCCGCACCTCGTCTTCAAGGTCGTCTCGCGACAGCCGCGTGCGCCACGAGCTGCCGCAGAAGTCCGACACCAGCACCTCCAGCCCCTCGCACTCCCTCCCACCGCACTCCATCCCGCCGCATTGCCTCCCGCACTTCACCGAGGGCCCTTGGCTTTCGTCTAGGGCACGATTCCCCTCGCTGCTGCCACTGCTATGGCTTCCGCCGTTGCTTTCGCTGCTATTGTTGCTACTACTACCGAGAGAGTTGGTATTCGCGGCACCGTCGCCGCAGGCTCGCACGAGAAAGACGAGCGGACTTGGCAACCGGCCTTGGCTCGTGATAAAATCGGGTGTGACTGTACCGAAAATGGGAAGAAATGTTTCGCAGTTTCCGCTGTCATTCTTCGGTCCTGTCTGTTCCTTCGCGCCTCGCGAGTCCATCGGGTACGGCGCGACAACTCGCGACGGAGGGACTCGCATGCTGCCGCCGCGGTTCGCGCTACCTTCGCCGATTAACAAGGAAAAATATTACCTAGTTGCGCGTCGAGGGGCTTTACGCCAGAAAGCACCAAAATTGACTTTTGAGGGACGTGGCCTACTTAGTGAAGCCGAACCAGTCGTCTGGTGTGACTAAGTGCGGCAAATTTAGCGGCTGGTTTAGCTAGGTGAACGACCAGGCGTGAGCAGCTGCCGTAGAGTCGTAGCACCCCTGACTCCTTCCGTCCAGTTACTTCTGGTTTGGTTGCGGCAATGTCAAGTGTGAGTTAGCAACCGCCATTAGCACCATGCATGTTGACAGGAAAGGCGATGTAGAATATGAGAGGATGTCCCAGCGGCAGGTGCAGGCTGCTGATGTTCCCTCAAGCTGGCACTCGCATGATCATCCTGCATGATTCTCCATTCGCGGTGTTCTATTACCGGGCGATCTTTCAGCGGATTGGCTGCGGTTAGCTGTCGATTGTCCATCGACGGCTGACAACATCGCGTGGAGCTGGGCTGGTTGCTTTGCGCCAAATTTTCTGGCGGAAGCGGCTGTGCCGTTGGTGAATGGCGCGAAGCCCACACATTGGCCAACCACCATCCCATCCTCGATAGGAACCCGAGTATTCCTATTGAGTGTTGTTGAGGCAAGCCAGTACAGATCTTCGAGCGGATTGACAAAGACTAAGGGCGTATCTTTGGTTCCGGTCATGAGCACTGTTCATGCTACTGTTCGGGTCATGCGGAAATTGCGCATGACCCAAAGTGGGCTGCCGAGCCGCGCGCGGCCCCAGCTTTGGGTCAATGTGCAGCAGTTGGGCGACTGACGTGCACGACCCACCCCCAACCAATCACCTGGTTGCACGACACACGTTAGACTGCCATCTTATGGCTGTCGTCAGTCGAGTGCCACAATTTTGCAATGTACCGTATCCTACACCTCTGCACCCAACTACTCAGCAAATCGACCCTAGTGATCCAAGAATGTGTCTAAAATTTCCCGCGTCGCGCTCCCAACATTTGGGGATTCATGCCGACATTTCTGACGATTGTGCTTTGCGTGGGTGTCGCAACTGAACTTTCGGACTGTTCTGGCATCCCTCCATTGGATGAGACTGTTGTTTGGGGCCTAATTTTGGCGCGAAAAGCCCCGCGCCAATTTGGGGGTCGCATGAGTGCCGAGAACCCGAAGTGGTGTTTTGCGTTGTTCCGGGCATCCGCAATTCGCGCATGCCCGGAACAGTGCTCATGACCCGAACCTGGATACGCCCTAATTACAATCTCATGAATCATCCTCCTGCCAACTACAGCAGAGAGAGCAGCAAAGCAAATGCTTGATCGCTAGACCATTGATTGGCTTCTATGCCACTCCACGACCTCTCTGTATGGCAGTTCCCCTCCAAAGATGTCGAGGGCACTTCCTACAGTCACATCCACCGCTCCCCTTCCAGCTGCCTTCACAATCTCAAGGTCCTCAAGTGAGCGAACACCTCCTGCATAGGTCACCGGGATCTGCGAGGAACAGGGAAGCAGCACAAAAGAAACCAAGTGAGGAAGGGGACTTCGATGGAAGCTTGAACATAGGACGGCAATGGTGGTAGTTAAAAAAATCGACGACCGTCACAAAAGAGGAACCAACATTTTCTGCAACTGGCTTACCGGTGAATATTTCCCAAGCAGAGACACCAGCTCTTCGTCAATGCCAAGCCTGCCAATGAGTAATGAGGAAAATACAGAGCAAAACCGGAAAGGTTAGAGTAAGGAACAGAACCACAAGAATAGGAAAATCTGAAACTTGTTTACCTTGGAACTATGTAGCGGAGCATTGATTTCTTCACACAACACACCAACCCCATTCACACTGTGTTTTCCTCCACATCAGTTCTCCACTCACCCATGCCCTCCACACTCCCTTTTTGCCGAGCCCATCCACCCCATGCATGAGCAGTACACTGCCATGGGTTCACAGCATTCACGCCATGCAACACACCCATCCTCAACACAGTTACAATCCCACTTCATCCCCTACAGAGTGCAACCCCTCCTTCAACTCACTTCATCTCACTTCATCCCCCCACCACACCTAAGAAGGGAGTTTTTGAGACGCCTAAGAACTCCCTTTCCCCACCACTCACTTCATGCCCTCCACATCCACTCTGTGCAAGAGGAGCTCATCGCAGCGGGCTCACAGCAACACTCCCATCCCTGCACAGTATACATGAACCAACTCCCCTCCACCCGCTCCCCATAAGCACTCACTTCATGCCCTCCACGTCCACGCCGTGCACGAGGAATTCATCGCAGCAGTCGGCCAGCCGCGCCAGCGTCTCGCCGTCCACCACCAGCGATGTGAAGCGCTGCCAGCGGTCCGTCACCACATAGTAGTGCTCGCCCTGCTCATGGGGTGTGTGGGAGCGTGTGTGTACTAGAGTGTGAGAGAGCGACATAGAAAAAGAGGCCACCAGCAATGTGAAGCGCTGCCAGGGGTCCGTCACCCCGTTGCAGTGCTCGCCCTGTGGGCCGGGTGCGGGCGTTTTGATAGTGTTTGGGAGTTGTTGTTAGACCACGAATGTTTTGAACTCCTGCCAGTGGGACAATGCCTACCTCCTGTTAGTGTCTCTCCTGTGCGTGGGGTAAGGTGAGTGACAGCAAGTGTGAGAGATGGAAAAATCCACCAGCAATGTGAAGCGCTCCCAGAGGTGAGGATGGAGATGAAGGGAGGAAGAGGGCGAGAGGAAGAGGGCGGAAACAACGTGGGGGGTAACAAGGCTGTCAATGTGTGGAGGTTTGAGATAGAGGTGAGGATGGAGGTGAAGGGAGGTGGAGGGAGGTCGAGTAGGGTCGAAGGAGGTGGAGGGAGGTGGAGGAAGGTGGAGAGATGTGCAGCACAATACCTTTCCTCACCTTCTTTCTGCAGCTCAGGTCCAGCACCAGTCTCTCGGGTGCCACTGCATTCACCATCCTGCGCAGCCGCTCCTCATCCACCTTGCCATCTCGAAACACGTACTGCCACGCACGCAGAGAGGGATGGGTCCAATGACTGAATTATGAGGCGCCTCAAAAGTCTCTCGGGTGCCACTGCGTTCACCATCCTGCGCAGCCGCTTGTCGTCCTCGAAACACGTACTGCCGCCAGACACAGAGAGAGAGAGAGAGAGAGAGAGAGAGAGAGAGAGAGAGAGAGAGAGAGAGAGAGAGAGAGAGAGAGAGAGAGAGAGAGAGAGAGACAAGCCCTAACTGCATCACGGCTGATAGCCCTAGACAAGCCCGACGGAGGAACCAGGCCAATCGCAATAGGCGAATGCATCCTCCGTCTAGCAGCGAAAGCAGCACTCACCCAGCTAGCAGAGGCGGCCAGAGAGTTCTTCTTACCTTTACAGTTTGGTGTAGCTGTGCCGGGAGGAGCCGAAGCAGTGATTCACATAGTTAGAACCTTTACCTCGGCAAATCAGGAAGCGCTAGTCTTGCAAGCGGATTTAGCTAACGCTTTCAACAGCGTTGATCGCCTCGCCATAGTGACGGCAATAAAAGGGTCGCAGCTGGAATCGCTATTACCTCTGGTGAATTTCTCTTACGGTCAACCGTCCACGCTGCACCTAGACACAGCGTTCAACCACGGACCTTTGCGCAGCGAGACTGGAGTCCGCCAAGGAGACCCCCTCGGCCCCCTCCTTTTTGCCTCTGCCATGCATCCAGCTCTGAAGGCCGTCGCGGAGGCACACCCGGATGTCATCTGCCTGGCCTACGCAGATGACGTGACCTTCTTGGGCGACCCGCCGTCGTGCACGGCCGCCTTCGATCACTTCACGAGCCTCCTCGCGGAGGTTGGGCTGAAGCACAACCCCGCCAAGTGCGGAGCATGGTTCAATGGGTCAACCGCGGACGTCTCCCTGCCCGATGGAGTTCCACTCAGCAGCGACGGGCTGAAAGTGCTAGGCAGTTACATCGGCACCCCAGGGGCTACCTCCTCGTTCGTGCGCTCCAGTTTGGAGGCAATGGGCACGCCGCTAGGATTGATCGAGCGGATGGAGCCGCAGCTGGCGGGACTGCTGCTGTCTCGGTGCGTTTCGCGCCGTGTATCCTATTTGGCCCGCACGACTCCCCTCCCGTCCCTGCCCAAGGAGGAGTGGTCCGAATGGGGGAGGCAGATGCTGGACACTTTGCTCACAGCGTGTGGCATCATACACCCGCGAGGGACCGAGGAAACCGCGCGCACTTGGGCGCAGGCCTCGCTCCCTGTATCGCTTGGTGGCCTTGGGCTGACAGATCCGTCCGTGGAGGGAAGCTACAGCTTCCTCGCCAGCTACACGCAGGCTCACCTTCTCCTTGACTCCCTCGAGGGCGACTGCAATGGCCCTTTGGAGGTCATCCGCGAGCAGATGCGCGGCCCCTACACTCAGTCATCTCCTTTGACCGAGTGGTTGGCGGAATGCGAGGAGGAGCTTCCACTGCCGGCGCAAGAAGCACTGCAAGCGGAGAGGACAGCCCCTACCGCGGGAAAGCTGCAGCACGGGTTAGCCACGGCTATCCAAGGCCAGCGCTACGCAGTTCAGGTGGAGAAGGTGCGGGGGATGAGCCCGAACCCAAACAATGGGCACACACAACGGCTGTTGTCCCTGTCGGGGTACGGGGCGGGGGATTGGTTGAACGCGGTGCCGCTGCACCGCGCGCTACACCTCGAGGCTCCGCACTACGCCAACGCAGTCCAGTTTCGGCTGGGGCTCCCCTTTGCGGCCCCCGGGGTCTGCAATTGCTCGAAGAAGGTAGAAATCCCTGACAAGCGTCTCCCAAACCACCTGTTACGGTGCGGGACAGGGGGGGGGCGCACAAACACCCACAACGAACTCAGAGATGAGTGTGCGCGAATGGCGCGCGACGCGGGCTTCATGGTGCACATTGAAACGGCCGCCTTCAGCCCAGTGGAGGAGAAGAAGGCGGACCTTGCCCTCCGCTGCCGCTCAACAGGAGCCGTCTACATCTGTGATGTGACGGTGACGGACCCCATCAGCACCCGTGACGAGAATGCAACTAAGGGGCGGGGGTGGGCGGCTCGGGAAGCAGCAGACAAAAAGCACGGCCTCTACAGGGACCGCCCCGAGTGGGTGAAGTTTTTCCCGCTCGCGGTCGAAACCTATGGGTGCCCATGCCCCGAGACAGTGGATTTCTTGAAGCTGCTCGCAGAGACAGCTGCAAGGCGGTTCTTTAACGCCGAGCCAACCTCCTACCAAGCTGCCAAGCTCTTACATCACTTTCGGCAGCGGTGGTCGGTGGCTCTTCAAAGGGGGCAGTCCATCGGTTATTTGGAAAAATGCAGCATAGCGGCTGCAGTAGAAAACCCACTGCTCGAGGCAGTGGGGGAGGCTCCGTCCCTAGGGGACTGCCTCACGGTACTGGATCCTGTACTGGACCTAGCTTAGGAGGGGGAGGGGGGGGTGGTTGTATGTTAAGGGAGTCGTAAGAGGCCTTTCGCACCATACCGACAATAGCTACCTCCTTGCATGCCTGTAAGTCCTATATATGTGTATTAATGAAAGGGCTGTTCGAGAGAGAGAGAGAGAGAGAGAGAGAGAGAGAGAGAGAGAGAGAGAGAGAGAGAGAGAGAGAGAGAGAGAGAGAGAGACCGCGGCGCTAGGGAGCAACAGCAACGCCGTGCAGCCGTCTGCGGCACACTCGGTCACCATCCAAGACATGGAGGGACGACTGCCGCCGCTGGCGCTGCAATACCTCCGTGAGGAGCAAGAAACCCCGTGCCAAGACCAGCTGCAGCGGGCCCTCTCTCAGCAAGTGCACGCGGCAAAGGCCGACACCCTGAAAGAGGAATCACGCTCAATCAGGTCAGCCCCCGAGATGGGCCACACGCTCCGCCTCGTCAGCCTGAGAGGCGAGGGAGCGGGAGCATGGCTGCAAGCCCTACCCCTGACCCCAGACCTCTGCTTCTCACCAGGGCAATTCCGAACAGCCCTGGCCTTCCGCATGGGCATCCGACAGAACATACCTACCGTGTGCGAGTGTGGAGAGCTCGTGGCCGACTGCAGCCTACCCAACCACCTACTCCGCTGCAGCACAGGCCCGGACAGAACGCGCACACACAATCAGCTGGCCTTTGCCGTGGCAAAAATGGCGAGGGAGGCGCAGCTGGTGGTATACCTGGAGAATGCAATGTACTCACCACCGGATGACTCAAAGAAGGCCGATGTGATGGTGCGTGACCCAGACAGTGGAGAGACCTGGATCACAGACACGACTATCACCGACCCTGTGCTGCAGAACCGGGACCCCACAGCCCGCAAACCCCCAGGCTGGGCTGCAAGGGAGGCACAGAGGCGGAAGGAGAGGGACTACTACAGGCACACCGAACACGTGGTGTTCTGCGCCCTGGCCGTCGAGACATACGGGGCAAACGCGCCCCCCACGACAGCGTTCCTTAAGCTGCTGGCCACAGCAGCGGCTAGGAACCGCTTCAGGGCCAGCCCCTTGGCGAAATCGGCCAAGAAGATGGCCTGCCACTTCAACCAGCGCTGGTCAGTGGCCCTCCAGCGCTCCCAGGCGAACGCCCTGCACACCAAGGCCAGGGCTGGGATTGAGGCAGCGCACCCCCAGATGGCAGCGGACCCCTGGCCGCTGCACCTGGGGGACATCCTACACACGCTGGAGGGCTAGAGGGTCACTCAGGGGGGAGGGGAGGGGAAGAGGGGTGAGTTGATGGGCTTATGGGATAGAGGTTATCATGGATAGAACTGCATGCCTGTACCCCTGCTGAATTAATACAACGGACCATTTGAGAGAGAGAGATGCGTGTGTTGTTGGGAACGATTCTTTGACAAGGTTCGCATTTAAATGCGATGAAGGGCCACACAGAGGGCGAAAACGGGAGACAGGTGGGGTAACCTTCGAGTGAAGTGCACTCTACAAGCTCAGAAAGATGTCGAAACACGAGGCTTGCAGAAGAGAGCCCGACTCTTTCCGAGGTGAGTGCAGCACGAAAACAATCAAGAAGGGGTTTGTTTACGAATGTGATGATGTGATGGCAGTGTGCTGCATGTCATGCTCTGTCACATCACAACCATGGCACAAGTCGTACGATACCAGTGATGATGCGATAGTGGCGTGATGATGCCTCACCAATGTGACAATGACGTTGCTGGTCCCTGTGTCCTTCAAGGTGCCTCAAAACGAGAGAACATTTTCGAGGTGCCTCATACCGTTGCGACAGACAGAACCATATCGAGGTGACAACACCACACCGAGGTGACAACACCACACCGAGGTGTCAACACCATACCGAGGTGACAACACCATACCGAGGTGACAACACCATACCGAGGTGACAACACCATACCGAGGTGACAACACCATACCGAGGTGACAACACCACACCGAGGTGACAACACCACACCGAGGTGACAACACCATACCGAGGTGACAACACCATACCGAGGTGACAACACCATACCGAGGTGACAACACCATACCGAGGTAACACCACCATACCGAGGTGACAACACCACACTGAGGTGACAACACCATACCGAGGTGACGATGACGTGGCTGGCCCCTGCGTCCAGGTACATCTCAGCGTTCTCTGGAGTGATGCCTCCACCCACGTGCAGCCCACCTGGGTTTGAAAGACAGAGTATAAAATTTAGGAAGGACTAATGGGAGGGAGGGAGAGAAAGAAAGATGCATGGCGGATGTACACATCTGTCAGACGTTTTTTAAGGAAAGAAGTAGAGAGAGGAAGAGAGAGGAACCGATCCACAAGCCCTTGCGGTACCTGGGAAGGCGTTCAGCGCCCCAAGAGCTGCCTCCTGACTGGCTGGATCGGCCCCCAGCATGATGACGTGGCCTCCTGGCAGCGAATCAGCGGCGTACATGCTGGCATACTCTGCTGCACTGCGATCTGACTCAAAGTTGGTCACAGGCTCAAAAGAGGAGGAAGAAGAGGAGGCGGTGGCTGATGAGCCTTGGGAGGGCAGGTCGCGGAGTGTGGAGCCAACGATCTGCTTCACCTTGCCCTGCATGGTTTGAAGGTAGTGGAAAAGAAAGGGTTTCAGTGAGCATGGCACTTGGCGTTGCGAGCAATGTTGAAGATGATGCTGTGAAGGAGATCTTCAGGAGGGAAAGTGACAATCTCAATATACTTCTGGGCTATAATGAAGTTTTTTCTAGTTATTCATAGGCTGTTGTTATTTATGGCTGGACGAAACAGGAATGGCGCCACTTGATGATTGAAATACAGCATGGCATGGTATCTTCGTGTTCAGGGAATGACAATGTATGACATGGCATTCATCCCTCACGCCAGCGCGTGCGTCCCTTTTTGTGCATGTGTTTGAATGCCTTCTGCCACGTGGATACCTTCTGAATGTCAATGACACATTCATACCTTGTGAATGTCAACTCCACATTCATACCTTGTGAATGTCGATACACGGCCGGAATTTAACAGCTGCAGCAATCATGGGGGGATCAAGGAGTGACGGAGAATATGTGAAAGAAACCGGAGAAGAAGAAACGCGATGGGAAGAGCGGGAATCAGAAGGACCTGGGACAGACTGACAGGCTCTCGAACATGATCGATTGAAGAAAACGTTGAAAATACAAGGAAGATGGAAGCTGGAAACAAGGAAAACTGGAAGGAAGAATGGAAGACACTGAGAGGGACTAGCGAGATAGCTTACTCTGTCTCGTGCTAGTAGCTTGGCTGTCTGAAGCACTGCAGCGGATAATATGGGATACCGAAGGTCGAACGGACAGTGAAGGTTGATGCATTGTGAGCGGAGCGGCTTTTAAGACGCTTCTGCTGGTGGCGGTTGCTATCGAAATGGCTGACGAACCCATGATGACCGCTCAAAGAGGCTACTTCGGCCAAATGTATAGTCGTCCTGACGCCTTTAGGACACTGATGCGCACTTATTCAGGACACGAATGCGCAGACCAAGGCTACATAAAATTAATCGTTAGGCGCACCAAATGGCGCGAGGTATTTGGAATTTATTCTAGAACCCTGAGCCTGGCCAGCCTAGATTCTGGTCCCTGCACATCTGCAGGGCGAACTTTTTTCAAATGACGGTACAGATACACTCCTACGTACGGAATAGAAAACAAATTGCTTCAAGTTTCATTGAACCATCTTCCAGAAAAAAATCTTGCTTGTTTCAAAATCCTTGCACAACCCTAATCCACTGTACAGTATGCCACCTTGTGTACACGTGTTTTGATTAGTGATTGGTGTAACATCAAGTACAAGATGAACGGATATGATAGTAGCACTTCCCCTGGTATGGTGCTGCATCCTGCATCTGCACTGACTTGCTCTTTCTCTAACAATCGCGGCGTCATTGCATCGACAGTGCAATGGCGATGGACGCAGGCTAAGGTCAGAATCATGATGTGCAGTAGGTGACTTCCAAGTTAGCTTGTGGTGGTGGAGCAATGGGCATGAGTCCAAACAGGTGATTCCTGGCTCGACTCAGAAGTGAGCTTGCGGAGGAGCAAGGGGGTGAGGCTTGAGGAGTCGCAGCATGACTTCATAGACAGCAAAGGTGATGGATGCCGAGGGCATGACTCGCAGCAGGTTGGGCAGAAAGCCCTTGTAGAAACCACGTGCGCCTTCGAGCCTGCGGAAGAGCAAGGGAGAAAGGCAAAACAGAGAACAAAATTTTGAAGCGTCTCAGTTGCCGCAGCAGGTCGGGCAGAAAGCTCTTGTGCAAATTTTTTGAAACCACGTGCACCCTCGAGCCTGGGGAAGACTAAGGGGAAATGCCAGAAAGAGGAGAGGAGTGAGAAGAGAAGCAACATAAGAGAGTGTATGGGGTGTTGCATAAGAGGGCACGACTTGCATCAGGATAAGCAAAATAAAACCAAAGCAGCAATTCACACCATATATACAGGATGGTGGAGAGAGGGTAGCATGGTGAGAAAGAACTGAAGTTAGTTTTCATCCAGCACCATGGCTCCTCATGAGAGCATGCATGCTAGTTCCTGATCACATGTGCAGCTACAGTTGAGGCGCTTCAAAGGCAAGGCCCCTGGCCAACTGTCAGTTCCTGATCACATGTGTAGATAGAGGGTTTCTGCAACTCACCTCCACATGCTGGTGACGGCATGCCGTGTGTTGCGGTACTTGAGCTGGCCGGCCTCGTCTGGACGCATCTGGATTTACAGGGTCATTGTGGAAATCGGGTATTTAAGTGCTTGGGATGGGAGTAGTGTGAGAAAGTTAACCCCAAGCTGTCGGACCAAAGGAGGGAAGCATTTGACCAGGACCTTGAGGATGGTACGAAGTTGGGAGAATGTGCACCAGAAAAGTGCAAGAAAAATGTGAGATGCGATTCAAGGAGGAATATGACATAGCAAAAGGCATGGCCAAGCCGATTGTTGTGGGAGGGGTTGGGAGAGTTGGAAAGTAGGCAATGGTGGAGAAGAGGACGAGAATGGAGGCTGGGGTACAATGTGAGGGATGCGAATGGGGGAGGGAGGGAAAGGGGAGACACGAAGTGAAGGGAGCAAGGAAGCGAAGGAAAACCAGGAGAAGAATCGGGGTTTTCAGGGTTTCAGAAGTATGGAGAATGGGAAACACAGCGTGGAGAGTGGGGAAGGGGAAGAAGGGCAGAAGGATAGTACCTGCAGTCGAGCTCGAACCACCTGGTGTGGGTGAGAGGGGCCAAGCAGGGAGGGAGGTATGGAGAAGCAGGGAGCGATGGGCGAGCAGGGAAGCATGGAGAAGGAGGTGGACCGTAGACAAGACGCCAGGTACAGCAGGCGAGGGGGGGAACAAAAGGCAGCAGGCACACACACGCACTACATTTGGAACAAAAGAGATTTGAGTGAATTTGAAAGAGGATCCTGGCCTGTCACACAAAAGGGGAGGCAAAGGCAGAGGAGGTTTGGGCATGTTGGCTGGTGAACTTCACAGTAGATCTAGGATGACTCATGACCTACCCAGAAGAAGTATCCAGCTTGACAAGTCCGCGGGTGCCATACCTGGTGGTAGGGGCAATGAGAGTCAATGGGTGCTGTACCTGGTAGGGGTAGGTGGCAGAGGCAGCACACAGCTTGGCAGTTGCTCCCACTGCAGCTATGTCCCATGGGGACTATGGGGGAGAGGGAGAGGTGAACGGGGTAGGTAAAGGGAACGATTCGGGGGGAAAAGAGAGATGGGTTGGGCTGGGTGCAGTGGAGGACAGTTGAAGGGCAACACAGGACTGGGAGGTGCAGCAAGATAATGTGATTCTTTTTATTTTCTTTTTTTTCCTCATGATGGCATGGGTTGTAACAACTGATTTTGCACTGTTTGCAGGGTAGTGATGGATGGCTTCCATAAACGTTTTGCGCAGTAAGATGAAAGCACTGACCAGCTCTGTTACAGCAGGAAGAGAGGAGGAGGAGGGATGTGAGTCAACGTGTGGTGGAGAGGGTGTACGTGGTGCCCATGCTGTGGGTGATCGCAGAGCCAGCATGAGCTGCTTCAGCTCCTCATACGCCGCCATCTGAATGGCCCCATGCGACACCTGCATAAACGCAGATGAAAGTGCGGTGCAGAAGGGTATAGGGGGATACATGGGTGTGGTTGGGAGGCTGGGTGTGCTGTCCACGCTGTGGGAGATCTGAGAGCCAGCATGAGCTGCTTCAGCTCCTCATACGCCGCCATCTGAATGGCACCGTGCGACACCTGAAACAATGTGGATCACAGAGCGGTGCAGAGGGGTACAGGGGAGTATATGCATGGGTAGATGGTAGCAAGGGGTATAGAGAGATGGGGGCCTGTCAGATAAACGCGTACAAGGCAGTACCAACCGAAGTTAAGGAATTCTGTATCTATCTACAGGGCATAAAATAAAGTACACATGACAGCCTGGCAGGTAGAGGATAACATGACATAAAGTACCAGAAATGAGGTTCTCGCCTAAGGAATGCAAAGGTAAGGCTCGGGCCTACACTTTACCAATACAAGGCTCGGGCCTAAGCCTTACCAAGACAAGGCTCGGGCAAAGCTTTTACCAGGAAGGATAGGCTCAGGCCTGAGCCTTACCATGATGAAGCACAGGCGCATGCCTTACCAAGACCAGGCTTGGACCGATGCCTCTGTACAGCCCTCTAACGCCCTCCTCCTTCACTATTGACCAGATGGCGTCTGGTGAGAGGACGATGGGGAGATCACAGGAGAGAACGGGAGAGAATGGGAGAGAATGGGAGAGAAAGGGAGAAAAGAAGAGACAAAGGGAGACAGGGAGTCTTGTGTGGAAGGAAAGAGGAAAGTGGGCCACATGACCGAGTATGGCTGTGGTGGAGATGGGAGAAAGGGAAATGGTGAGGCTTGGGTTTAAGCCTCTGTAGGGTACTCTCTTGCCCTCTTTCACCCTTGATGCATGAGCAGATGACAGGTGGAGAATGAAGGGGGAGAGAGCTAGAATGAAGGGAGAGAGAGCTAGAATGACGGTGGAGAATGAAGGGGGAGAGAGCTAGAATGAAGGGAGAGAGAGCTAGAATGACGGTGGAGAATGAAGGGGGAGAGAGCTAGAATGAAGGGAGAGAGAGCTAGAATGACGGTGGAGAATGAAGGGGGAGAGAGCTAGAATGAAGGGAGAGAGAGCTAGAATGACGGTGGAGAATGAAGGGGGAGAGAGCTAGAAACGTGAGGCGTCCTTCAGATTATTACAGACCCTTCTCATTATGCAAAAAGGATCCGAGAGTATGGAAGAAGGGGTCAGATTTGAAGGGCGGAAGTATGAAAAAGGGATCAAAAAGCTGAATGAAACAAAGGAAGCGTGCGTGGATGATGCTGAGGAGGAAAAAAATTACAGCAATAATGAAGACTCGACAGAACGAACTGTTGTCACTAAAACGAGGGCGGGAGGAGGAGGGGAGAGGAGAAGAGTGTGTGAGTGAGTGTGAACGACGATGGATAGTGAGGGCGACCGAGCAAGGGAACGATGGGAGAGTGGGGAAATATCTGAGAAGCAGAAAGGGCAGTGTGACACCAATAGGCATCATCAAAGAGAGCGACGCAACAAGGGGGGGAGGGGAGGAGGGGGGGGAGAGGAAGGGAAAGGCCGGGGCGGGGAGGTGTTTAGGGGGGGGGCGGGGTGGGGAGGGAGGGAGGGTACAGAACAAGAAGTGAAATAGAAGAGAGCAGGGAGGAGGGCGTGTCACCATGAAGCACCATGAAAGCCTCGGTATTGCCGGGGGCGAAGGGGTACGGCTGGTGCTGTCGGCCTTGATGCTGCTGCACCTGGTGGTGAGGGTGGTTGTGTGCCAGCAGCACTGGTCGAACTGGCAGCACTGGCGGGTGCAGCATGGTGTGGTGGTCCCTTGGGATGCACGGCTCCCTGCAGCTGTAGACGCGTCTTGGCGAGCCAGATGGGGTTGGTCAGGAGGACCACCTACTCAGGAGGGGAGAAAGGGAGAGGAGTGGTAAGCTATGACAGCAGTGGCAGCACTGGGGGCCGCTGCATGGTGTGGTGGTCCCTTGGGATCCATAGCCCCCTGCAGCTGCAGGCGCGTCTTGGCGAGCCAGATAGGGTTGGTGAGAAGCACGACCTGTTAAGGAGGGGAGAAAGGGTGAGGGGTGGGGTAGAGGGGCGAAAGGGGGAGCGATGCAGGGAGACAAAGGTTGAGTGTGCGCAAGGTTGGAACTCGAGAGGCATGAGCAATAAGAAACGGATCGTATGGCGATGGAGGGAAACGATAGCCTGTTTCTGATTCATGCTTGTGATATAGGCATCACTACACTCTTGTCTGGGATGACAGGTGCTGTAGGAATATGAGAAGAAGCATCTTAAAGCACAACCCGAGATACATATCACACAACATGAACTCAATCAAACTGCGAGAAAAGCAAGACAAGCCCAGGAAACGCATACCAAAATGCCAGTCTCAGTGGCAGCAGCCAAATTCACCAATGTTGAGCTCCAGCTCTTAGTGTTGTTGCAGGGTGTTTTTGAGAATTGTCAAAAACATCAGGAAACGCATACCAGAATGCCAGTCTCAGTGGCAGCGGCCAGATTCACCAATGTTGAGCTCCGGCTCTTATCACTCCTCTCCACCTCCATCCCTCCACTGCTCTTGCTGCTTTCGTTGCTGCGTGACTCTATCTCGTCTCCTACAACTGCTCCTTGTTCTCTGCCATCACTCCTCCCCTTATCCCCACCGCCCGTGTGCACTGCATCAGTCCGACTCCCACCACCAGGAGGAGAGCCACTCCTTCGAGCCCCCACTCCAACAGCAGCAGCATCTGATTCCAAACTGGCTCTACCGACTTGTTCCCCTCCAGTAGCCCCCCCTTGGATCGACAATTCTCCTTCTCCTGAAGCACCATGAGCGACAGTGGTGGAGCTTGAAGTTGAACCCTCACTTAATCTGTCCTCCCCGCAATTGCGGCTACCGCCACTGCCATCACGAGCAGCACCAGGAGCAGCAATGGTGGAGGCGCCAACTCGTTCTGAAAGCCTTTCCATTGAAACGACCGGGCTGCTCTGCTCTGTGCTTGGCCGATGGCTGCTGCCGCTGCTGCTGCCACTGCCATTGTGGCTCCTGGCACACTTGCTGCTACTGCTTCCACATCGTCTGTCACTGTTGCTGCTAACGGTGCTCGTCAGAGCACTAAAGTAAGCCGTGTACCGCTCTTTGGCATGGCTGTACCTGTACAACAATGAAGGAGTGGAGAACAGAGGAAATTTTGAGGCGCCTCAAACATCCTCTTTGGCATGGCTGTACCTGTACAACAATGGGGTGAAGAACAGAGGAAATCATTTGGAGTTAAACGAAGAAAGGTGGTGGGGGGTACACGGCAGGGGTAAGGAATCGGAGTGGTGAGGAGGAGCAAGAGAGAAGAAAGGGAGGGGTCGGAAGCAGCAAGCGGGGAAGCTGGAAAGCATCAGGTGGGGGGAAACGCCGATGGAAAGAAAGAAATAATAAAGGAACAATGTTAGGAAGAGTGGCGAGACATTGGAAAGGGAAGAAGGCAACAGAGTAGGTCGAGGCATAAACGCCAAGCACTGACAGGAAGAAGTAGAGAGCCCAGGAGAGAGAGGAGCCGACCATGGATGGGTATAGGCCCGCATACAGGCCTCGTATGCCCTGATGGGGAGGTGTAGGTGAGGGGAATGGACGGGAAGGGAGGGAGAAGAGTTTTTGCCTAAACCCTAAATCAGGTCCTTCAGAACTGAACTTCGGATGCATAAAGCGCGGCAGAGATCACGTGTGTAGCATGTAAGTTCGAATGTATACACCGGATCTAGAGATAGTGGTGATGGCACTGATGACACATGCAGGAGGGAACATCATGAAATTCAAATCAAATCTATACCTCGGATCTAGAGATGGTGGTGATGGCACTGACGACGCCACGATAGCGAGGAATTGCGGGATCCCTCCCGTCATTCACTGCACGGCGGGACGCGCGGGGACGGGAGGGGGTGATGGGAGGACATAGGCGGGAGACAAGAGAGAGAGGAATGAGGGAAGTGGGAGGATAAATGACGGTGAGAGAGCTAGTAGGGTGTGGTGTAGGACGTTGATTACTAACCTTGAAACCTGGTTCGCACGATGTCAAGGGGGTGGAGAATGGCGACGGTCGCCATGCCTGCAACAGCTCCTGCGATGGCCTCGGGACGATTCCACGTCTTTCGACGGCCATTCCCGGCAGGCCGCGGTGCTTGCGATCCGTCATTTGCTTCTTCCGAACCCACTTCTGTCATCGCTCCAGTAGCTAGCTTCGAAAGTTTCGATATCTGAGGCGCCTCAAAAATCTTCTGTCATCAGCCGAGTAGGTCGCATCGAAGATTGCCGCGTATCACTTGCGCACTCGTCCAGCCTCGGGATGGTATTTAATCAATCGCGCTCATCGGACTCATCGCATCCACGGAGCCTCGCAACGCCCCCCTCGCTAGTACCTGTAATTACAGGGTCCTGTGTCTGGCGTTTTATTGTTGTGCGGAGATTGGTACGGTGAATCGTGACTGGATGGATAGACACATGCGACCATTGGGAGATTATTTGTCCTGGACGCCGATGGCTTACAATCGGTATCCCAGGAGGAGACGTGGTTATGGCGTGTCCCTTCAAAAAGCTTCTCTACTCCGTAAAGCTCCGTGTCGCAAACTAGGTGGGGTATGTACAGGAAATAGGACCACGTGGGGTATGTAAAGGAAAAAGGACCACGTGGGGTATGTAAAGGAAAAAGGACCACGTGGGGTATGTAAAGGAAAAAGGACCACGTGGGGTATGTAAAGGAAAAAGGACCACGTGGGGTATGTAAAGGAAAAAGGACCACGTGGGGTATGTAAAGGAAAAAGGACCACGTGGAGTATGTAAAGGAAAAAGGACCAGGCGGGGTTTGAGCCCGCGAATCAGTCAGAGAGATTGGTTGGGTTGTGCTACTGGTCCTGGTTTCGTAATGAACATTTAATAATAAAATAAATATATTTTGGGTCCCTAACAAACAAAGCCATGTCACCTTGCAGATGTTTTCGAGGACTTGGCAGCCCAATGCCAAAGGATGGAATACTTCTCGCTTATTTTTTGTTAGTCAACGGCGCGCTATGTGCTCTATGGGTTCTCAATTGATGCGCTCAAGGAACCCGCAGACTCGAAAGGAAGGCGGTCGCTACCACGTATGCTGCGATCGTGTCGCCCAACATGTTCAATGGCAGATGCACTGAATTCCACAGGGTTAATTTGTTTCGGTGCGCTTCATTCATAAAAAAATGGTCGTCAAGGCGTTTCACGAAGAAGGTGTTTGCAGCTTCAATCTGGCAGTGTTGTCCACGTCTCCACACCGTGGTTTATTCTGTGGTTGAGAATTCATGGTAGTCTGCAAAGGCCACGGACAAAAGCCAGAAGCTTCGTGATTCCCTGTTTGACACACGGAATGAGCCTAACGGCTAGTGGTCGGTCCACACCATAAATTGAACGGATCCAGCAAACTTGCAATGACGCGAGATGGCTTCAGCAATGCAACGACTGAACCACATCGTTTCGTGCCTCCTGTGGCCAGCCACACGCTTGTGGTCCCTTGGGGCTCGTCAGATCGCCGACATCAGAGCTAATCCGCAGCTGGTCTCTTTTGCAGTCAAATCCGGGCTCGCAGCTACACTAGCCGCTGTGGTTTGCGTTCTTGAGGATCCCATTCCAGACCTGACAGAGATTGGAATATGGGCTGTGGTAACTGTGGACCTGGTGTTCGAGCCCACAGTCGGATCTTCACTAGGGTAATGGAAGGACACCCTCGGTTCTCCCTTTTCTGGCGGGTCTTCACTCCGACTGATAACGTTTTCTGGGCTGTGCAGCAAAGGCATCAACAGAACGGCTGGTACCCTTTTGGCAGCAGTTCTCGCATTTGGTGTCAACCATGCAACGCCTCACCTTGGGGATGTGAAGCCTCTTTTTCTGGCCATACTTGTGTTTCTGGGTAGTGTCGTTCCGACCTACTACAGATATCGGCCGCCGTTCAAGGATACGTAAGGCCTTATTCTTGGTCAAATTGGATATCTGTTGTGAGCCAGTGATCTGACGATGGTTTTGTGCAGGTGGAGTTATTCCTTTCTCATGATGTCTCTCACCTTCCACATTTTGATACTATCTGGTTACCGCCATGAGGAGAAATTCTATTACCCCTTGGCACGGTTGGTGATGATCATGCTGGGATTCACAAGTGTTGGACTGGTTCACATCTTCATTCAGCCGGCATATTCTGGAGACCTTCTGCACAATCTCCTTGTTAGTAGACTGAAATTAGTTGCAGCCGAGCTGGACAGGTATGAGCTGTTGTTTTCCTGCTTCGACTAACTCATTTTATATAAGCTAACGCAATCCTCATCTCAGGTGTAGGAATTACTGCGTTCTGGAACACAGTTCTACAGACAACGTGATGAAAGTTTGCAGCAACATCCTTTTTTCCCAAGCTGAAGTAGACAAGCATGTAAGTAACCATAATCTCCAGCAAGCTATCTGTCTACACAGTCTGGGGAGTTCTTACTATCGTTTTTGCTTTTCAGCTATCAGCTATCCAGTTTGAGCCACCGCATGGAAGGTTTTTTCATAAGTATCCCTGGAAGACATATGGTCAAGTTTTGACCAGTCTTCAGAATTTTAATCTCACCGTAATTACCATGGAATCAAGTATGCATGCTGCTGTTCACGGAAATACCTCTCTGAGGCAGGATTTGGGAACGGAGATGAAGGATTTGCTGCATGAGTGTTCAAGGTACGTCCATGCAAGAATCTATAAGGCACAGTAATGATCAGCACTTTTCATTGTAACACCTCAATTATTACTGTTTTACTTTACAGGGTTGTGATGATGCTAGCTGCGTCCATGGAGAAATTCATTTGGGAAGGAAGACCACCACTGGTTCTTCTGCACTCCCAGAATGACTTTTTGAAAGAGAAAGCTCTACACAGCTTGCAGCAGTTAGTACATCCCAAGTCAGCAGCGGAAGTTGAAAGTGCATCTGACTTCTCATGCTCTTGCTCAGACATAAGCGCTATGAGCCCAACTGCATGGTTTACAGATTTTAAGTTGATGGACAGTTTACTCTCCCCACGCTTTGATACTCGCAGGTAAGTAGCGCACTTGTCCTGTCTATTCTATACTCTCCTGTTCAGCCCAATTCTCATCAGTGGCCGTTATTACCTCTTCTCCCTCACTCCCTTTTACCGTATCCCAGGATTCCTCATTTGACTAACATCCTATCTTGCTGTTTCGTTCCCTCCCAGCATTTCTCTCATGTGCCAATTATCCCTTTTCCCCCACCATCCCATTCTCAGTCAAACTACCGTAAAAGGGCTTGCCATCTCTGGTGTTAACTTATTTGAGTTTTTTCCCTGACTTGTGCAGGAAATATCTGCTGCAGACCAGTCAATCGCACTGCTCCTTTCCGACGGTAGCAGCAAGTGCTTTAGCCTTCAACAAGACCTCTGCTCCGACTGCTCTCCCTTTACTGCGGGCCTTGTTAAATATGCTTGAAGTTCTTCCCAATCTACTCAGCTTGGTTGATGCTGTGGAGAACATGGCTATTGGTTGTAGATTTAGTATGTCTGACAAGAACGATCATGCATTTGTTGACATTTGATGGATGGTAGATCAGACTACAAACACTAGCTCAACCTGTTTATGGTACTGGAGCAGATTATTGCACTACGAACTCTTTAGCCTTTTATTATTAAAAAAACATGGGCGTGTGGAAGTCAAATGGCTATTTTATAATGTTGGGCTACAGTGAGATAGCTTCTAGCTAGAGGATACAACCCATTTAGGGACTTAATTGTACCCCAACCCTCGTATGGTAGTTCATTCATTCTTTTCTCTTGGTATAGAGCGGGATGTCAATTTCATGGGCCCACCGCCCCGCACCCAGTATCGCCTAGCCCGTCGCCCTGTGGCCCGTGGTTCGTATGCAGTCGCACTCCGCACCCCGCTCGCGCCCCACAGTCCGTCGTCGTCCGCTGTCCTGTAGCCCACCAATCCTTTTAACTATATAGTCGAAATGATTTCTCCTTACACTTTTCAGACACCTCAAAACATACGGTAGGAAAAAGAAGCTTGTGCTTTCTACCATGATAGACATGCTCTAAAACAAAACCGGTAACCAACATGCGTCACAAGGATTTGTGGTAGCTACAATTGGGAAAAGGTTGTGTTTAGAAGCAATTCAAAACAATTGTGCACTAACTATTGTGCACAAACATTTCACGAGGTGGCTGTACTTTATTCTACTTGGGCTGACACAATGCTTCCACAAAGAGTTTCGCTATGATAGCTGGCTTGGTGGGTGTAGCTTTGCACTGTAGACAGAAGGCATGCTTGTGCTCGATGCTTACTCCCCAGATGCTAGCTCTGTGGGCCCACGGAAAACAGAATAAAAAAGAAGAGAAGAAATAAGAAATGGACCAGTTTGCGTGCATAGAGCGTGAAAACTGCATGCAGTGATATGAGGGATGCTTGCAAGCATGTTCGTACTCAAAACTTGGTAAGCCTGTGAACCCCAGAACCCAAAATCTGGAAAACCTGGACGCTCTCGTGGGGGGAGGGGGGACCAGGACACAGTCTCACATGAAACCTGAATACACATGCGTGCATAGACCTCACATGAGGCAAACGATGAACCATTCACTTTCAAAGGATTTCAAAAGCAACACAAGCATACCATGACCTGGAAGCTGTGATGTGAGGTAACCACCGCTACTACCAGCTTCTCTCCTTTTTGTCTCTCCTCCTCTCTCTCACTTGGCTCTGTGGCATTCACATGGCCTCTGTTGTTTTCTCCTGAGCTCTGGTACCTGGGCTCTGGTGATTTTACCTGAAATCTGTGATTTTCACCTGCAGGCGGTGCAGCTGGCGCCGGCCACGCAGTGCAGCTTCACGAGGCGAGTGCTGGAGCGGCCGTGGTAGTACCACCCTCCCACAAACGCATTCGCTCCCCTCTGGTGTGGTGGTGGGCGATGGGTGGTGGGTGGTGGGTGGTGGGAGATGGGTGGTGGGTGGTGGGTGGTGGGAGATGGGTGGTGGGCGGTGAAGAAGAGAAAAAGAAGCAGAAGAGTTTAGAGGAGCGGCCGTGGTGGTACCACCCCCCCCACAAATGCGTTCGCCCCCCGCTGGTGTGGTGGTGGGTGGTGAACAGGAGATAAGGAAGGGAAAAAAATTAGAGGATCAGGCTGGTTGGCCATGCAGTGCAGCTTCACCAGGCACGTGCTGGAGGTGACTCTTGAGTCGACTCAAAAGGCACGTGCTGGAGGTGACTCTTCGACTCATAAGGCACGTGCTGGAGCGGCCGTGGTAGTACCACCCTCCCACAAACGCACTTGCTTCGCGCTGGTGGGTGGTGGGTGGTGTTGTGTGTGTTGTGAGTGGTGGAATGAATGAGAGAGAAAAGGGTTCAGGGGAAGGACTTTGGACAGGACAAGGCAGTATGGCTGTTAGACCAATGCTGGCACCGCACAAGGAGTGGGGGGAAGGGGGGGCAAGAGAGCATGAGTGACCTGGGCGACACAAGGGCGAAGGGAGGCACTTTGTAGTCATAGGTGGGGGAGGGGAGAAATGACCAGGGCATGCAGGGGTGGAGGGAAGGGAAATGAATGGCCTGGGTGGGATGAGGTGGGAGAGAAGGGGATTGACTGACCTGGGTAGGAGCGGGAGGGAGGGCGGCGAGCAGGAAGACATCGGCAAAGAGCTTTGGATGCCACGCGGGGGCACGGCCACAGAAGCTGATGGGCGGAGGGGTGATGGGGGTGACGGGGTGATGGGGGTAATTGGGTGATGGGGGTAATTGGGTGATGGGGGTAATTGGGTGATGGGGGTAATTGGGTGATGGGGGTAATTGGGTGATGGGGGTAATTGGGTGACGGAAGGGGTTGAAGTAATGGGTTTGGGGAGGGCGGCGAGCAGGAAGGCGTCGTCGGCAAAGAGCTTCGGATGCCACGCGGGGGCACGATCACAGAAGCTGATGGGCGGTGGGGTGGTGGTGGGGTGGAGGGGGGGTGGGAGAAGTGATGGCTTGGGAGGGGAAGAGAGAGCTCAAAGCGGTCGGTGAGGTAGAGGATGAGGTATGCACAAGAGGAAGAGGTAGAGGATGAGGTATGCACAAGAGGAAGAGGTAGAGGATGAGGTATGCACAAGAGGAAGAGGTAGAGGATGAGGTATGCACAAGAGGAAGAGGTAGAGGATGAGGTATGCACAAGAGGAAGAGGTAGAGGATGAGGTATGCACAAGAGGAAGAGGTAGAGGATGAGGTATGCACAAGAGGAAGAGGTAGAGAATGAGGTATGCACAAGAGGAAGAGGTAGAGGATGAGGTATGCACAAGAGGAAGAGGTAGAGGATGAGGTATGCACAAGAGGAAGAGGTAGAGCAATCGGAGGAAGAGGAAGGAGGTTCACGCGCAGAAGGCATGGCCGTGAACGAGCAAGAGTACCCAGTGCGAGTGGAGGTGAGGGGAGGACATGCAAGCAGTGACTTACCGCACACGTGAAGGAATGCGACTCACGCACACACAAGAGGAAGGAGGCGGGAGGCTCACGCACAGAAGACGTGGGCACCCAGTGCGAGTGGCCGTGAGAGGAAGCCACTTAATTAGCAATTTACGCACACGCAACGCAAGGACTGTGACTCACCGTCACGTGCACTCGCACGCGCAAGGGAGGAAGGGGAGGGAGCTCACGCGCCCGTGGAAGAGAGACACCACCCAGTGCGAGTGGCCGTGATGGGAGGACACTTTATCAGCAACTCACGCACAGGAAGGGGCAGCACGACTCACGCGCAGAAAACATGGCAGTGGAAAAGAGACACCACCCAGTGTGAGTGGCCGTGAGAGGAGGAGGAGGGGGGTGGCCCATGCGCAGATGCAAAACATAAGTCTCCTTGCAACTCACGCGTAACAAAAGTCTCCTTGCAACGCATGCGTAACAAAAGTCTCCTTGCAACTCACGCGCAGAAGACGTGGCCGTGGAAGAGAGACACCACCCAGTGCGAGTGGCCGTCCGCCTCCTTGGTGCCAAAGCACGTGCACGCCGCTGCTGTGTCGCTGCCGTGCCTGTGGTGTGGTGGGCAGAAAGTGACCGAGAAAGGGAGACGGTGAGCGGAAACAGGGACCGGGATTCGGGAAAGACGAGGGTGCAAGTCTTTTCCCACTCTGAACACACACAGCATCGCATGATTGCCGCCCCGCCCTGCTCTCCATGCCGTCCCTCCTACTTTCGTAAATGCAACTCGTCGAACCCCCTCACTCGCTCATATCTCCCATCCCACTCACCAGTTACACTGTTACTGCATTACCAGGGTGGACGTCACAGAGTTGCTTGAAGATTCCACACCCACAGTTACATCCACGTGCAGCCAGTTACCCTGTTACCAGCTCACCTGCTCACTGCAGATACACTACATGCAGCTGTTTACTCCGTTACACCAGTGGTCCAGCTGGTTACCCGGTTACCACTGCACCCACTCACCGGTACACCACGTCCAGCCTATCCTCTTCCACGAGCGATTTCGCTCCTCCTCCTCCCGCCCCTCCCGCTCCCATCCCGCCTCCTGCCCCCTGCGATGCCTCGCCTACCCCCACCACCACACTCTGCCGCACCATGGGCCGCGCACTGATCAGCCACGCCCTTCCCGTCCCAAACCCCAAACCGCCAACCCCTTCCCGCCCACTCACCGGTACACCACGTCCAGCCTGTCTTCCTCCACCAGCGATTTCGCCCCGCCTGCTCCTGCGCCTCCTCCTGCCGCCCCTCCCACTCCCGGAGGCGTCTCATGCCCCGCACCCCCCACCACCACACTGCGCCGCACCATGGATCGCGCACTGATCAGCGACGCCCTTCCCGTCCCAAACCCCTTCCCCCCCACTCCAGCTCCCCCTCCCATTCCCGCTCCTGCTCCCGCTCCTCCCATGCCTCCCACTCCTCCCCCAACTCCCATCCCCCCGCCCACCATCGCCCCCATCATTCCCGCCAGCCCTCCAGCCATTCCCCCCGCCGTTGCCGCCCCACCGCGCACCTCCCTAATCTCGTCCGTATCCGAACTAGACGTGTACCCAGCGGCGAGAGCCGCAGCAGCGGGGTTGAGAATGCCAGAAGCGGCGGCGGCGGCGGCAGCAGCGGCGGAGGCGGCGGCGGCCTTGCGCTCGTCCTTCCAGGGGAGGTGGTGCCAGGGCGAGCCGGGCGGCAGAGTGATGCCGAGGAAGTCGAGCTCCGAGCGCAGGCGGTAAAAGTCTTCGTCATTCATCCATGGCAAGGCCTCCAGACTAATTGGGTGGAGGGGGGAGGGGGTTGAGAGGGTGAGAGAGGGGAAATGCCTTAGGCTGTGCAGAGGCAGAAGCAGAGGCGGCAGCAGCAGCGGCAGAGGCGGCGGTGGCGGCCTTGCGCTCGTCCTTCCAGGGGAGGTGGTGCCAGGGCGAGCCGGGCGGCAGAGTGATGCCGAGAAAGTCAAGCTCCGAGCGCAGGCGGAAGAAATCCTCATCGTTCATCCATGGGAGGGCTTCGAGGCTGGATTGGGTTGGGGAGGGTGGGGTTGGGAAGCTAAAGAGCGGAAGGGTGTGGGGAGGAGGAGTGGGGATGTGGAAATGGGGGGAGAAGGGAGTTGAGCTCAGAGCGCAGGCGGAAGAAATCCATGGGAGGGACTTCTGACTGGATTGATGAGGAGGAGATTGAGTGGGGGTGAGGAGGGAAGAAAGACAGTGAGGCAAGGAGGAGCAGTGGAGCTCCAAATGCAGGCGGAAGAACTCCTCATCGTTCATTCAGGGGAGAGCCTCCAGGCTGGTTGGAGGAGGAAGGGGGAGGGCGGGGAGGGCGGGGTAAGGGGCAGCAGTGGAGCTCGGAGCGCTTGCGCAAGAAGTCCTTGTTGTTCATCCATGGGAGGGCCTTCAGAGTGGGGAGGAAGGGGTCGGGGGAGGGGGAGGGGAGGGCGGAAGAGGAAGGTGGGGAGAGGAAGGGGGGTGTGGAGGGGAGGAGGGGGGTAAAAAGGGGTTGTACGAAGCAGTTGAGTTGTGAACGCAGGTGGAAAAAAAAAAAAAACATCATTCATCCACTTCAGGGCTTTTAGACTGGTAGAGGGGAGAGTGGGGGAGTGGGGGGGGGGTATGGAGGGGTTGAGAGGAACAGGCACAGTGGGGGAGGAGGAGGGGGAGATGGGGTGGTGTGAACAAGCGCATTAGGGCACCTGCCCTTCCAAGGGAGGTGGTGGTGCCTCTAAACTGGTGGAGGGGAGAAGGAGCGAGGGCTGATGGCGAGTGAAGTGCAGGGTGTTTGGGGGTTGGGTGGGGCGGGGAGGGGGAAACGAGGAGAGCACACGTTAACCATATTACTGGATGTTGCCGTACCTGCAGCAACACCGTACGTGCAGCAGTGCCGTACTTGTGGTGTTGTAGTTCTGCTGCCGTACCTGCACCACAGTGCCGTACCTGCACCACAGTGCCGTACCTGCACCACTGCCATACCAGTGGTACTGCCAAACTTGTGGTAGGGTGCCGTACCTGCTACAGTTGCCGTACCTGTGGCACGCTGCCATACCTGTGGCACTCTGCCATGCCATGCCTGCGGTACTGCCACCTACACCAAAGCGCCGTACCTGTGGTACTGCACGACGGTGAGCACAGCGCCGTACCTGTGGTACTGCACGACAGTGAGCACAGCGCCGTACCTGTGGTACTGCACGACAGTGAGCACAGCGCCGTACCTGTGGTACTGCACGACGGTGAGCACAGCGCTGTACCTGTGGTACTGCACGACAGTGAGCACAGCGCCGTACCTGTGGTACTGCACGACAGTGAGCACAGCGCCGTACCTGTGGTACTGCACGACAGTGAGCACAGCGCCATACCTGTGGTACTGCACGACGGTGAGGACGCGGGAGAAGGTGGCTTCATCGCAGTCCAGCATGAACGACAGCTCCTCGTCCTCTGATGCGTGCTCTGGTGTCTGCACACATGCACGGAGAGGGCAGACGGCACAGGGCACAGGGCACAGGGCACAGGGCACAGGGCACAGGGCACAGGGCACAGGGCACAGGGCACAGGGCACAGGGGAATTGTGACACCACACGTCTCAAAAGCAGTCCATCCAGTGAAGCTCAAGAGCAGTCCAGCATGAACGACAGCTCCTCGTCCTCTGATGCCTGCTGTCAGTCACAGCACAAGCCACAGGGCCATTGCAGGGTTGGCTAGTAAGATAGTTAAAAATCTCCCTACCACACCGCGCCACACCACACCACACCATACCACACCACACCACACCACACCACACCACACCACACACACACACACACACACACACACACACACACACACACACACACACACACACACACACACCACACCACACCACAACACTCCAGGCCTTGCCACCAAATGCGCCACCACATCACGCCACGCAACACAACGACACATCACATCACGTCATTCCGTGCCACGCCATCAGATGCCACGTCACCTGCAGCTTGCCATCTGGCGCTGTGGTCTCCAGCTGCTTGCGGAAGAAGGGGATCTTCATGAGCAGCGCCCTGGTCACGCGAAACAGTTGCATCTGAGGGAGGTAGAACCGGGGGAGGCATGAGCGGGGAGGATATGATGGGGAGGTATGAGGGGGGAAGAAGGGGATCTTCATGAGCAGCGCCCTGGTCACGCGGAGCAGTTGCATCTGAGGGGGGTGCGGGGGGGGAAGAAAACCTGGGGGAGGAGGGAAGACACGATGGGGAGGTATGAGGGGGAAGAAGGGGATCTTCATGAGCAGCGACCTGGTCACTCGGAACAGTTGCATATGGGGTAGGTAGAGCAGGAATGAGGGGGGAAAAGTCGTGAGAGAGGGGAAGCAGTGGGAGACTCAAGTGGGGAAGGTATGAGGGGGGAAAGACATGAGTGGGGAGGGCATGAGGGGGAAGAAGGGGATCTTCATGAGCAGCGCATTGGTCGGTCTTCCAGTTGCATCTGGGCGGAAGAAGGGGGCAGGCATGAGCGGGGAAGCAGCAACGGGGGAGGTATGGGCGGGTGGAGGTATGACCGGGGGAGGTATGACTGGGGGTAGCACGAGAGCAAGAAGAGAATTTCCATGAGCAACGCCTTGGTCGCGCGGAGCAGTTGCATGGGGGGGGAGGAAGGAAGCACCGGGGGAGGCATGAGGGGGAGGGGAGGTCGCACCGGGGGAGGCATGACATGAGGGGGAGGGGAGGTCGCACTGGGGGAGGTATGAGTGGGGAAAGACATGAGAGGGGGGAAGTAGTACTGGGGGAGACACGAGGGGGGAGGTATGAAAGGGAAAGTCATGAGGGGGAGGGCATGAGGGGGGGAGCATGAGGGGGGGACACTACGGAGGAGGCATGAAAATTTAGAGGCATTGGAGGGGATGGAACGAGGGGGAAGACATGAAGAGGGGGACATGAAGAGGAGAGACATGAGCGGGAATAGGAATGAGGGGTGAAGGGGCACGAAGAGGGGAAAGGCATAAGATGATGAAAGAGAATCATTAGGTCGTTCGACCGAGTGGGGGAAGGGAGGGAAGCTGGGGAAGGAGGTGTGAGTGAGGGTTGCCAGAGGTGGGGGGAGCTGGCATGGGGAGGTGGCACGGGGAGGTGGCATGAAGAGGTGGCACGGGGAGGTGGCATGAAGAGGTGGCACGGGGAGGTGGCAGGGAGGAAAAGAATGGCGTGGCATGGCTGGCATTATGGGAGATAAGACTGACTGGAGATGATCGGGGAGAGTAGGAGAAGAAGGAAGACGAGACAGAAAAAGGGAAGGAAAAGGAGGGGAGGGAAAAGAGAGGAGTGAGGGGAGAGAAGGGAAAGGAGAAGGGAGCGATTCGAGCGGAGTGACAACAGCACGAACGAAGGAGGAAAGGGGCAACAGGGAGCAAGACATTGCGCAATGCCACCACGCCATTATCTTAGGAAGACTACGAGTGTACAACTGAACCCTAATCGCTTCGTGTTACACTTTCCGTAATTAATTCTTATCCTTACTTCGCGCAATCCCTTCGACAGTGTTCTTTATCATGAATTGACATCAAAATGCATGCACTCCGACGCACCTTGGGCCCCACGTACACCGCGATTCCGCTGACGCCAACGCTCTCCGTGAAACTCCCCACAGACCTTGACGGCGTCAGCATCGAGTTCAGTTGCGCCATTAACGAAGGTGCCGATAACGGGCGCGGCAAACCCCCAACCTGCTGATACCCCATCAACCCGCCAGTGCTGTTGCGGCTAAACGCTTCCGCATCCTCGCCCTCGAACCCTTCAGGAAGCTTCACGTCGCTGGCGAACGAAACCACGCGATGTGTGTTCGGCGAAAGTAACAGCCCTCGCTTGCCCCGCGCGTCGTAGCTCGTGCTCACGCGCATCGGCCGCGGCTCGTCCGCGCCCGCGGCGCCTTTAACGCGCTCGTAATGCGGAGCCGTGGTGGATCGTTGCACGCGCTGCAAAGCCGGCGCCTCGTCCTCCTCCTCCTCCTCTTCCCCTTCCCCCTCCCGCTCTCCAGCGCCCGCTTCCTCCCCCTCTCCCTCGTTCCCACCCTCCTCGTCCCCCTCCGGCGGCGCCGCCCGCTCCTTTCTCGCAGCCGCGCTTTTGCGCGTGGAGGCGGAAGGCGCGGACGTGGCGGCGGTGGAAGGCGGTTCCGCGGGTGCTGCTGCTAATTCTGCCGCGTCGCCCGCGCCATCGTCCGACGCCGTGGTGACGGCGGAAGCGCTTGACAGCGAGTCCGCGGAAGAGTTCGCCTTATGGCGCGACCGGCGGGAGCCGCCGCTTTGCGAGCCGCTAGCACGCGCGGACTGTTCGCGGGTACTGGATTGGTCTACGGCGTTAGTAGTAGTAGGCTGGTCGGGGGAGGAGGAGGAGGTGTTTGAGCGAGGCGACTTGGGCACGCGGAGGCTGCCTGGCTGCGAGGCGCGCGACGCGCGCGACGACGAGGAGGCGCCGGAGGAGGAAGACTTGCGCGGCTCCTTCGTGCGGACGGGCTTGAAGGAGCGGGCGCTTCCGCTCTCGCTGGACGGGCTGGGATTGGTGGAGAGACCCGCCGGCGGTAACTCTTCGTTGGCCTCCAGCGCCGCTGCGAGTTGCGGGGTTGCGGGGTTGCCGGATGGCAGGGCTGCGGAACAGGATAGGGAGCAGGGACGGGGAGCACGGATGGACAGGAAAAAAAACGTGAAGAGGTTTGGTTTGAAGTTGTCCATGATTGGCGCGAAAGGCGGTAAGGTGAGACGACAGGAGAAGGAGAGGGGAGGGAAATGAAGTAGGGGTAACAAGTCGGATGGAGGCACGTCAAGCAGGCATGGGAACAGGTATGGAGGTAGGGCTCGTGTCAATGTGTATCACTACAACATGGGAAAGCAGGCATTGGAAGCAGGTAGAGAGCTCGTGCAAAGGTTGGCGCGATGGTCTAGAAGAGCATATGAGAAGAGGCGAAACGACATCCTGGAACGGCGGGCGAGGAAGTTAACAGCGGGAAAAGCGGGCGTGCAGGAGGGGCATTATCGTACCGTGACCGATGGTGACTGGCATTGGGTCTGACGCTTCAGCCTGAGCTGGCGATGCTCCTAGCAGTGGCGACGGGTCTCACGGCAGAACACTGTTGCTCGCGCACAAGCTTTACCAGTTGGTGGTGGCGAGGGACGGTGACCTAACCTAAACCGCCGCTTTCTTAGCTCTCTGACTGTACAATTTGTCTGTCACGTGCTCGAACGTGGCGACCGTGGCGGACGTCACTCAAGAGATATATTACGGTTTTGCCCAATCAAGTTCAATCATGCAGCAATGCCGACCATCACGAGGGCCATGCGGTTGGGTACGGAGAGTTATGGGTGGTGCGCTGCTCAAAATTGGGTTGGGAGGACTTTGTTGCTCTCTTCATTTCTACTACTGTAAAGGCGACTGCTGGATAGCACGCTTGAGGATGGATGCAACCAAACCACACTTCCCGAAGGCGCGAAAGGTTACTCTGGACGAAGTACGGACAGATAGGAGGAGGACCGTCGCACAGCATTGGCTGACACCTAACGACCTACACGGGAAGATAGGACCACTGAGCTGCTTTCGCAAACCCAATTACACTTCCGTATCAAGCTCGATTTTATACCCGCAGACCCGCGTTCATGGGGCGAACACGCGGGCCCGACAAAGCGCGTTGCTTTGGCGAAAGCGACAGTGTCTCAAATTCGCACTGACTTCCAATATGCAGCAAATCGTCGACTTTCTCGACGGTACAGTAACACGACGCGGGAAATCGTCGATCTCAATCGATCGACGGTTGAGACCCGCAACTTGTTACAATCGGTGCCCATTTCAAGAACACCAGATAGGCGGGCGGCATGTGCGTGAAAATGCTCGAGACATTTCGCCATGTTCGCCTTTGTCGCCACTGACAAAAATGTGACTAATATGAAATTGCAACGTGAATCGAGTCAAGGGTTTTAATTTCGTAACCAGGTTAACTTCTCTGATGACGGGCAGCCGTTGTTGTTTATGAACTGTAGATGTTTTTCTTCCTCAGCTTGGTGACTGTACCCTGAAATCGGCACAATGGTCAATTTAGTCACTCACGGGCAAAACGTTCGCGAGTGACTAAATTTCTAATTGTGAGGAGCAAATGTTTTGTGATAGGCTGAGCATCGACTGTACCTGCCAGGCGCTAACTTGCTCCGTCAAGTGATGGTGCAAGTGTAAGGAATTAAAATGACTACACAATAGTTCATGTTAGGCCCCTTAACCTAAATCCGCGAAGGAACAGCGGGGTTGACTAAATTGAGGATAAAGCGCGGCGGAAGGCTTTGGCGAAAGAAGAGTTGGCAAATAGGCGAAGAAGTTACTGAGCAATAATTGAATGAGAATTGGTTGATATGGCAAGTAAAAGCAAGGTTTAAGTAGCATGCAAGACCAATAGTTGGAAAGTAGTTTATGGGACAAATGATTGTTAAGCAAGAAGACTAGAGTGCCACGTGACACAAGGAAATAAAGGAAAACCCGAAGGGATTGGATGGAAATAAGGTTGGGATTGTGTTGGGGGAATGTTTAGGGTAAATAACCTTTGAACACTACCCCCTCCCAAGAAGGCGACGTCCGCGGCACCTGCAAACTGAAGGTACGCTTGGAGGCAAGCATTGTCAGGAGACAGTGAGGACGAAGGAAGCCAACTGTCGTCTGCTGCGTCGTAACCATGCCAACGAACCAAGAAGTCGATGAAAGAGACACCTCCCTGAAGACGACGACGGTACCTGAGGATGCGCTGGATCTGGTAATCGGACTCGTCGGGATCAATAGCTACCGGTAGTGGAGTGCGATCACTGCCCGATAATGTGGCGTTGGGATTGGTGTAAGGACGAAGAAGAGACACGTGGAATGACGGGTGCATACGGAAATGAGCTGGAAGGCGGAGGTGGTATATGACTGGACCAAGTGCGCGCTCTATGACGAATGGACCAATAGAACGTGGACGAAGCTTGCTGTCCTATGGCAGTCGAAGGTTGCGGCAATCCAAAAGAGCACAGTCGCCGACTGCAAACAACACCTCACGACGACTGCGGTTGGTGATGCATGTCATGCGTACATTTGCGAGCTTAAGGTGCTTCCTCACGTGATCATGAATGAATGTGGGTGTGAGATCGACTTGAATGGAGACATTAGGGTGCTGACCATACAGTGCCAAGAACGGTGACATGCCTGTGGACGAGTGGTGTGTGTTGTTGTATGCGAACTCGGCCCTGCTCAGCTTCTTGTCCCATGCGGTTGCGTCGTGCATCGTGATGCTACGAAGGATCTACTCCAAGGTCTGGTTCCCGAGCTCAGTCCGTCTGTCTGTCTCTGGATGGTATTCAAACGACATGGCTAAGCGAGTCCCAAACACTGCAAAAAGCTGCTTCCACAACTCCGAGGTGAATCTAAGGCCGCGGTCGAAAATGATGGAGTCTGGAACCCCGTGCAGTCGGACTATGTTATCAACGAACAGCGTCGCGCCTTCCTCTGCTGTAACCTTGCCGTGCATGGGAAGCAGCTTGAGAAAACTTATCCACTACCACAAAAATGGCGTCGTGACCCCTAACTGTGCGAGGTAAAGCCATGATGAAATCCATTGTTACTACCTGCCAAGGTAGGTCGAGCGGTGGAATCGGCTGCAAAAGTCATGACTTGCGCTGTCGAGAGGACTTCGTACGCTGACACGTGTCACACGAGTGAATGTAATCCTCTACGTCTGCTGCAAGCCTTGGCCAGAAGTACGTGCAACTAAGCGTCTTAGCTGTCTTATCTGCTTCGAAGTGACCTGCACTAACTATATCGTGCGCCTCGGAAAGAAGAAGCCGTCGAGGAGGGCGGTAGGCGGGAGCCCAAATCCGTACTGTCCCCTTCCGAATGTAGATACTACTCTGCACCTCTGCTCTTGCAGGCGGCTGCGGTGTGAATTCGGGATCTACTGTGTATCCATACTCAAAGATTGATGTGTGAAGTTGATGGCCGGCAGTGACTGTGAGGCTAGCGAGCTGGCAACTAGGGCGAGTGAGCGGATCTGCTGGGTTGCGCACGCTTGGCTTGTACGGTATCCTGTAGTGGAAACTCCCCTCTATGAACTCCACCCATCAAGCCTGGCGACGACTCAGCTGCAGTTGCAACTAGAGAGAGTGAAGCAAGCAATGGTCCGTGTGCATAACACCATCTGCCCCCTATAGGTAGCACCTCCACACCTTATACGCATGGATGATCGCGAGTGCCTCCTTATCGTGAAGCAAATAACTCAACTCTGCTCCCCTCAGCTTATGCGACTCGTATGCGATCGGCTGCAACGTATGGCTTGATCCTGAAGAAGTACTGCTCCTATGGACTAATCCGAACCATCGGTCACTACAGCGTATGGGTGAGAAGGATCCAAGTACGACAACGTCGGTGAAGACGTGAGCGACTGCTTCATCTACCCGAGCGTCTACTGCTGCACTGGACCCCAAGCGTAATCCACGCCCTTTCGAGGTAGGTCAATGAGTGGACTAGCGATGGAAGCGTAACCCTGAACGGAACGAAAATAGTCATTAGCAAATCCTAGGAAGCTCTGCATCTCCTTGACCGAGGTCGGTGCCACCCAATACTGTACGGTTGCGATCTTCTTCGGGTCGGTCCTAATGCCACTAGCGGAAATGATGTGGGTTAGAAATTCGACCTTTGGAAGGAAGAACTCGCACTTCGACTGCTTTGCGTACAGCTGCTCCCTCCGTAAGGCCTCGAAGACCTTCTGCAAGTGCAGCACATGCTCCTCTTTGTTTTCGAGAAGATGAGGAAGTCATCAAGGTAAACTACGACGAACGACCCTAGGAACTCGGAGTGGACGGTGTCAGAATGTGTAGTTTGTCTAGCATGGAGTGGGGTACGCTATAGCGAGTACAACCCAATTAGGGTTTCCTATGTGCATCTCAACTGCTGCTAGTGCAAATCCCCTTTCCTGTTCTAACTTTCGGCTACGATTCTGACATGCTATCAGAGCAGTCACGCTCCTAGCCTGTGGGCCCACCGTTAGCTTCCACTGCTGTCCTGTCTGTCGCGCGCCCCGTGGCGCACAACGTTTTTTCTTCCTGCCACGCGCTCCTGGCGCATGGCGGTTTTCTGCCTGCCGGGCGTTCGGGGCGCGTGGCGGTTTTCTGCCCGCCGTGCGCCCCGAGGCGCGCGGCGGTTACCTGCCCCGTCGAAGCGCCCCCGGAGGCCCGCACGCCATCCTCTCCCGTCGCCTCGTCGCGGCACTTTGGGGGCCCGCGCGCCGCCCCTCCCGTCGCCTCGTCGCGGCGCCTTGGGGGCCCGCGCGTCGCCCCCTCCCGTCGCCTCGTCGCGGCGCCCTGGAGGCCCGCGCGCCGTCCTCTCCCGCCGCCTCGTCGCGGCACTTTGGGGGCCCCCGCGCCGCCCCCTCCCGTCGCCTCGTCGCGGCGCCTTGGGGGCCCGCGCGTGTCCCCCTTCCATCGCCTCGTCGCGGCGCCCTGGGGGCCCGCGCATCGCCCCCTCCCGTCGCCCATCAAGGCGCCCTGGGGGCCCGCGCGCAGCCCCTCCCATCGCCCGTCGAGGCGCCCTCGGGGCCCGCGCGCGGCCCCTCTCCCGTCACCCGCCGTGGCGCCCTTGGGGGGCCCGTGCGCTGCCCCTCCTGCAGCTCGCGAACCGCCCTTGCAGCCCGCGAACCGCCCCTGCAGCCCGCGAACCGCCTCTGCCGCCTCTTGCCCTCGAACATCTGCGGGTGGTGGGTATGGGGGTGGCGGGTGTGTGTGTCGTCACTTGCTCCTCCTCCTCCTCCATCTCCCACTACTGCAGCTGCCGCTGAGGGGGGTGGATGTGTGGGAGCCGCGGCCGTGGCGCTAGGGGGGTGTCGTGGGTGTGGAGCTAGGGTTCAGCAGGGGGGGTGTGAACGAGAGTTTTGGGACAATGGGGGAGGTTGAAGGGGGGGTGGCCGCCGTGAAGCGAGCAGCTCCAGTTGCCCGTGAGACCGTTCTGCCAGTCGCCCATGAGCCCATCGCTCCAGTCGCCCGCTAGCCCGTTGCTCCACT